TTCTATTGTGGGGGAGAGTACAGAAATTTTTGGGACACCTGTGCGATTCCAGTTTTGTAACAAGGGCTATTTGTTACCGTGTTCTACACGCATGCCTTGGTTATCAACATGAACAATTTAATTATGTATAAGAATTAACTATTTTATGGCATTTCTCTCTCTCTCTCTCTCTTTCTTTGCAAACAGAAAAAAAGTATTATAACACATATCGGAAAGTAATACTTACAGTGTTCCGGTCGACATCATCATTATGGTGAAAAACACTGATATACATGTCCCATACGGGCAGTACATAAAACGATATGACCGCCACAAATATACTCAACACGATGACCGAGGTGCGATTGTTTGGTTTAGTAAACATAATTAATTTATTATTATTATAATTAGACATTACAGTATTTTATGTATAGACCACATCTGGAGGTTAATCGCATTTATTTGTCACTATTTAAATTAATGATATTTTTCCTTAATACAATTTATGAGTAAAAATTATTTTAGAAAATCTAACAAGGATAAATAAATTTTAATACAGTTTATTGACAGCTTTGATGTTATTTAAAATTATTTATTATATTAATTTTGGTAAATTATTCTACATGTTGAGCATTTTTATTTTTATTACTAATATTTTTACTGTTATTTTTATCATGATGAGCTTTGCTCAATATATCTAAGACACGGGGGTTGACCAACTGTCCCGTTTCCAGTGCCCACACCAGCTCCATATGATTCCAAGTCTCATCCGGCACTTGATAGTCATCTAATAATTTAACTATATAAATAGAAAAACAAATATAACTATATAAATTTGTAATTATAATACCTTATTTTACATTAATCACAAATTAACCATATTATATAAATCAAATCATCCAGAAATAATCACATACTATTTTAAATAATTATATCTAATTGTGCGTTTGTTTGACGGGGAATGCTAGTTATAAATAAAAATGATATATAATATTATTGAAGTAAGGTCAATTTCTCGGAACCATGTGCATGGGTCTTAATCCCACTTAACTGTTCATAATCCTTATCCCTGACCTACTCATAGCACTCAACGCAATCCGTAAAAAATATATGTTAAATATATAAAATAACTAAAAGTAACGCATTTTAAAAACTATAAACAATAATAAGCTATTTCAGAAACACCTAGAATATATTTTCTGAGCACAAACAAAAAACAGACAAACAATTATATCTAGCACCTTTTAAATGCTCTTTGAGCCGTTGCACGTCATCCACATGATTGAGCCAATCGTTGGCCGTATATATGAGGGCCACATGTGTTGAGTTGATGGCCGACAAGTCATACGGTGGCGGCTCAGGGCTCTCATGTCGGGCCAGATTAGTGTCCGGATCGCCGTAATCGTAGCGCTCGGGCCGATTGGACGACACTATCTGTAATAAATGGGCGGCATTCCAACTGCTGGAGCCCGACGGCAGGTTCGCGATGTATACGCCCGTACGGGTCTGTTATGAATAAGGTGCAGGTGTAAATAAGTTGAGTGTGAGTGGGTGTGTATTTATGTAATAGCCCATTGACCATGATTCATTTATGTAAAGTGCAGTTAGATTAATAGCAGTTAAAGGGATTGTCAATTGTAAATTATTGTTGTACTTATTGTAAATAACATTAATTAAATAACTTAAATAACTGAGAGAGAGAGAGAGAGAGAGAGAGAGAGAGAGATGCCATAAAATAGTTAATACTTATACATAATTAAATTGTTCATGTTGATAACCAAGGCATGCGTGTAGAACACGGTAACAAATAGCCCTTGTTACGAAACTGGAATCACACAGGTGTCCCAAAAATTTCTGTACTCTCCCCCACAATAGAAACGATGTGCGCGTTGTTCTGAGCCATTAGAGTAAATTAGTTTAAATTAATTATTTTAACTAGATTATTTTATCCGTTGTTAATCACCTGAGCCATGATGAAATATAGCTACCATAACGAACTAGCGGCGAGGTAGAGTTGCCCATAAAGGGCACCGGTGATAACGCTATGAATGGTTTAATCACGTTGGAGTAATGTGGCTGGGTGGCCAACAAGCCAAACATCATGTAGGTGCCCTGCGAGTGACCGATGTATGACAATTGCTCTGTTTAATTGAGATAGGTAGAATTTTTGATGAGTATTAACTACATTATGTCTTTTTTGTGCGAAGGTTGAAGGTTGTATTTAAAATATACTGTCTCTAGGCTTATTATTAAGTCTAAACTATGTTTATAACCTTAACCTTGGTAAAATGTTACTTAATTTAAATTTTTGCAAACTAGTAAACAATTTTAGAAATCCAGTTTTTATGTGTTTATGTAATAGATATTAGTTTTGAAATAAATATATTTATAATCTTAAGTGAAAGTATTAAATTATTATGAAATTTAAACATAATCATTATGCGGACTTTGATTGACCCAAATAAAGTTGTCTATATAATTATTATTTTAACTAGATTATTTTATCCGTTGTTAATCACCTGAGCCATGATGAAATATAGCTACCATAACGAACTAGCGGCGAGGTAGAGTTGCCCATAAAGGGCACCGGTGATAACGCTATGAATGGTTTGATTACGTTGGAGTAATGTGGCTGGGTGGCCAACAAGCCAAACATCATGTAGGTGCCCTGTGAGTGACCGATGTATGACAATTGCTCTGTTTAATTAAGATAGGTAGATTTTTTGATGAGTACTAACTAAATTGTGTTGTTTTTGTGCAAAGGTTGAAGGTTGTATTTAAAATATACTGTCTCTAGGCATATTATTTAAGTCAAAAATATGTTTATAACCTTAACCTTGATAAAATGTTAATTAATTGTATTTTCTGCAAAACTAGTAAACATTTTTAAAAATCCAGTTTTTATGTGTTTGTATAATAGATATTAGTTTTGAAATAAATATATTTATAATCTTAAGTGAAAGTATTAAATTATTATGAAATTTAAACATAATCATTATGCGGACTTTGATTGACCCAAATAAAGTTGTCTATATAATTATAACGATAAAAAAGTTTTAATTAAATAAACATTTGCGAAATTAAAAACAAAGACTAAAACAAAGAGTGTTTTGTAATAAATCCGATAATATTACAGAATTAAGTCATACTTTCCTTATTTAACATAAATACTAGTTATTAATATAAACTTTATCAAAACTATTAAATTAAATTAACTTTTAAAATAAGTAATATAACTTATTTAGCTACCAATAAACATCAAATGCCAAATCACCAACATTATTTTAAGTATACGTATATTTTACAAAATAACTCTGCTAATTAATTAAAAAATTACCTGATAAACTAAATTATAACCAACCTTTATTAGTCTCCCGTTGTATATACGCTATCATTGCGGGTAAATCGTAATCTACCATCTCGTCTATGGAGAAACTCCAGAACTCGGGGTCTATTAACAGGGATTAATAAAACAAAATTAAATACAATTAAAATCACAAACTTAAAATAATAGCCCAATTTACATACCGCTACTAGAGTGCTGGGTGTGATTGAGCGAGTACATATTACCCCGCATATTGGCCAGCCATACGTCATACCCGTTCACTGCCAACACAAACCCTAATGTATTGCCTACCGGGCCGTCGTTGTTGTCCTCAACCCACTCGCCATCGCCGGTGAGTTCGCCCCACGAGTTAATCAGCCAAACGTTAGCGTTATTCTGGAAACCGTGTTGTAATAATATGGGCCGTAAACCAGCTCGATCGGTCACGTGCGGGTTAATGATCCTGGTCACTGTCAGTATGTAACCATCCTTGGTGGTTATGTAATGGTTCTCTGCCAGAAAGCCACGTGACTCAATGATTTGTGCCTGGTAATTGAATATTGAATTAATTGTTATATTAAAGTTTGTTCAATTAAAAATATTTACTAACAAAGCCTAAGTTAACGTGTTAAACTATTTGTTGACATTAATTATTATAGTTTTTTTTAATAAATTTATTTTATTTGTTATACTGTAAAATAATTATTATTTGCAATATTAATATGAATTTGTTGTATTTAATGTAAGTGAAAACAACACTTTTTAAATTATTTACTATTATTATTTTTTATATTGTCAAATAATTAAAATATGTGCCAGCAAAAATACTTGTCACTTATTTTTGAGTGTTAATTATTTAAATACAAATAATCTCTCTCTCTCTCTCTCTCTCTCTCTCTCAGTTATTTAAGTTATTTAATTAATGTTATTTACAATAAGTACAACAATAATTTACAATTGACAATCCCTTTNTCTCTCTCTCTCTCTCTCTCTCTCTCTCTCTCTCTCTCTCTCTTACTCTCTCAAACATTTATTCACTAACTCATTACAAGTTGTAATTTATAATAAACAGTTGATATATTTTATTAGAATTTTAATATTTATTAAAATTAATGGAAAATTAAATAGAATACTGAATATTAGACTCATGTGTAATAAATATTTTTAATTTAAAACTTTTAAACATGCAGAAAACAAAATATTTTATTTAGAATATAACACACATGTTAAATTATACGTACAGTGTCCCGATCGACATCATCATTATGGTGAAAAACACTGGCATACATGTGCCATACGGGTAGAAAATACACCGATATAACCAACACAAATATGCTCAACACAATCACCGCGTTGCGATTATCTTGTTGCTTTGCCATGGTGATTTTTATTACTTTTACCAGATATTATTTGTGAGTATTTTTTTTAAAATTATTCTGTTTAAATTAAAATTACTTGTTTATGTTATATTGTTTAATTATTAAATTGTTACTGCAATTTTGCAAAATACAAAATTTGACGAGTAGGATGGTGCTGATAATTACAGTGATTTTGGACAAACAAATATTTTACATTATTATTATTTACAATGTTTCCCCTAAAAATTTTATGTGTAAATTACACTTTAGTTAGCATAACATTGAACATACATGTATTTATTTACTATACCTAAATTACATATACATGGAATATCAATTACAATATAATTATTTATTACTTTGGGCATAAATTAAAAATTATAAATAATTATAATTTTACACTAATTCAAATAGTGTACTCAAACAGTGCACATTTACATTCACTATTTAGAAACAAAAATCCGGACAAAACTTAACTGAAAACAAAATTGAATAAATATGATAAAAACTTTTTTAAACAAACTTTGTCCACAACACTTTCATTTAGATTTTTAACTAGACGTTACACTCGCTGTCAATGTCTTATAATGCAATTACACGGTTATCAATATCTAGCATTTCTTATAGCATTGTAAATATAGCACAAATAAATGACATATAATAAATAACATACATGTATAAACATATAGTGTGTTCATAATAGTTAGTATGTGTAGAAACAGGTCCCCAATAGTATGATATTGCTATATATTCCACATAACTATATTCAATATGCTTGAAATTTACGATCGTTAAGCTCAAGGTTATTTTTGTTGAAAGGCAATCAGGCTGTTAACTGCATATCGTATAAATATATCTATGGGAAACATAGTACTTACTTCAGTTATATTGACCAAATAGAGGGCCCCTACTTAACCATGGAAATAATTCCTATATTTCATTATATTAAAATATTATAATAAATTTAGTATTTAATTTACAAGCACTAGCCATTTATTTATACATATGGTTTTAGAAATAAAATAATATATAATATATTAAAAATTGCGAAACCTTATTTGTTTATGTAACTAGTTTAAAGTCTAGACTTGTGTTTATATTTAAAATTTTACTGTTTATAAAAAATTTAACTCCCGTCGTTAATAAAAAAAATTTATATTATAATAATGATAATATTTTTAATTATACACAATACATTTAATTAGTAAATAATTTGATTATAATATATAAATATTCTTATTTTAATACAGCTTGTTTGAATGAATAATGCTAGATGGAGTGGTTAAAATATTTTAGTTATAACTGTGTAAATGTAGAGCAAACTTCAGCATTACTGTTAAAGTAATCTTTCATTGTAAATAATGTTAAATATTATTGCAAATTTGTTTTTGTATATGATAATTGTACAAATACACAGATAATTGATTGATTATATAATATTATTAAAATTTGCTAAAAATAAACTTCAAATCTATTCATTTAGTAAATTATTCATATTTTTTAAATATTATAATTATTTGAGTGTATTTGAATGAATAGTAATATGTTACTAATGCATAATTGAAATAAACTAGAATTTACTAGACTATATTTTTGTAAAAATATTATTGCACAAAACAAATTATTGTCTAGTATCATAATATAAACAAACAACACTTTCGCAACAATTTCTGTAACAATATTTAGTATATAAACCTATGCGTAAAATATAACATATTATTTTATTTTAACATATCATATTAATTTAAATTTTATATTTAAAAAATTACCAACACCACTATAAATAAATTATATTTGTTAATGTTTTTATTGCAAGTGAATAATTTGTAATAATTACTTTATTTAGTGAGTAATGTTAGCATACATAAAAATCTAACAAATTGCTAGTATATGTTTTATTTATAATTAATAGATCATGGTGAGGACACTGAGCGAGAATGGTTTGCAATTCCTAAAAGACGCCGAGGGTTTTATTGATCATTATTACGAAGATCAAATTGTATGTTGTTATCATGTTGATATTTAAATTTAATTATCAAAATAACAACTTATAATAACAGTTATAAAAACAATACATTAATATATCAATTTCTTATAAATAATAATAATACATTAGGATCAAGAGACAATTGGCTACGGACACTGTGCAACGTGGCGTGGTCGTATCCGTTTTGAGCCGCCCATCACTCACCAGCAGGGTGAAATTATATTGAAAGAGGACCTGGTTGTTTTTGAACAGTGTGTCAACCGGGTAGCGCCCAATTTGAACCAATTTCAGTTTGATGCCGTAAGTAGCTCTCTCTCTCTTTCTCTCTCTCTCTCTCTCTCTAATCATAAATAGTTTGTACAAAATAAAACACTGATCATAATTAATAATAGAAAATAATTACGTTATACATATAGTGCGTAAACTTTGCGTTTAACATGAGTTGCAGGACATTCAGTAACTCAGATATACTGCGGCACATAAGACATGGTAATATGAGGGCAGCGGTCGACGCTTTCCCGCAATACAACTCAATGGACGGCCAATACATGGAAGGGCTGGCCGTCCGGCGTATGGGCGAGAAAGCCATGTTTGTCCGGCGCTGAGACACACGCTTTAAACGCAACAATTGATTAGTTTGGCTCAATTTATTTAATTTATTAATAGTCAAGCCATTTGATTAATTAAATAATAATAATTAATCCAATATTTATACTAGGCTTATAAAAGTTGTTAACAAAAAATTATTTATTCAACTATTGTTATATTGTAATAGAATTGTTACAATAATCATTATAAACTTGTTTGAAACTATTGTATTAAATTTGAAACATGCAACTTTTTAACAACTTTCTAGTTACCCAATTAATTAATAAATGTGTTTAAAGTACTTATTATGAAGCATAATAACCGACTGGTTGTACCATCTGTTGGGCAATATAATGTATTGACTGGTTCCATAAATCCGCCAAACTTTTGTAACATTGTTTTAAATTAATTGTTTAAAATAAGTTTATAAAACAGGACATAGAATTAAAACTGTGTTTATTAGGCTACAAGACACTATAATTATTTTGTCCATATCTATTGTGGTCCCGAAGTAATCGTCACCCGAAGAGATTAACCTTCGGAAATACTTTGGGAATTTTCCCCGATGAAAATTAAAATATAAGTTAATCATGTGTTTTAAAGTAATATATTTTAAAGATTATGAACAGCAAACAAATATTTACTATAAATTCCAGACCCTGATACGTTAGTTTTAAAAATTTTTACGTATTTGTGTGTCTCATATATTGATTATCATTGAATAACATGGCCCAAAATGTTTCCACGGGTTGGTCTCTTCGGGTGACGATTACTTCGGGACCACAATAGATATGGTCAAAATAATTATAGTGTCTTGTAGCCTAATAAACACAGTTTTAATTCTATGTCCTGTATCTCTCTATCTTGTATCTCTTATTATAAATTAACATGAAAATTATCAAGTTGCAATAACAACTTGACATACAAGTTCACAAATATACATTGTTTTATGAAATCTATCATGTTACAATTATTATTGTATAACAAAAATCAATATATAAAGCGATTATAAAGTTAATCTCTCTCTCTCTCTCTCTCTCTCTCTCTCTCTCTCTCTCTCTCTCTCTCTCTC